GTCTTCGCAGGATTGTCATGTTTGGAACTCTTAACTAGTCCAAGGCTACGCTTATGCATGCTCCACAAACTCTGCTGATGACAGCCCCACCATTGTTTCTCAGGTTTGTATCTCTCCACCTATATGCTGTTATTGTTAGATTTCTTGTTGACAATTTTATATGATTATCATATTGCCATTTGAGATCAGTTGTGCTAAGTTGGGGAGGATATTTAGTTGTGGGTCATTGAGACAATGACATTTGAAGTTGGGGAGTGTTGATTTGATTTATATTTTTGTGAAGTATTGTTGATGGACTTTTGTGGAGATTGTGATATTTTTTTTTTTTGTGAAGTGTTGTTATGATGCTTTTGTGGAGAGTGTGCTTAAATTTTGTGGCATGATAATGTTTTGTTGAAATATGTTGATCTTATTCTGTAAGTCCAAAAGTGGTTAAAGTGAACTAAAGTGAGTTATTTTTAAAATTTTTCATGAATTCATGCATAATTACCATTTTAGAAGCAATTAAAGTGCTAGTTGAAAGGTTTTGTAGTTTTTGAAAATTTTTTGTGCAACATGGTTTTAAACATTGAACTATTGGTTCTGTTTTGTGCTAGGTTTGTCCATAATTATGGTTAGACACTATTTTGTGTAAATGTCATGTTTTTTTATGTTTATGCAAGTCTCCCACATACTTTACATGCCCATGGAGCAAATTTTCATTTATTTTATCTGCCTGTATTAAAAGTGCTTAAATGTTGCTTGATGATTTGTGATGATTTGTAGCCTAGTTGACTCGAGTGAGTACGCTCGAGGGGTGTCTACACCTATCCCCTAAAGCTATCTAGCTTGGGAGTGGTTGGCCTAAAGCTCGTTACTGGGTCCTCTAGAAGCTTAAGAAATCATTACATAGATCATGAGCTTATAAAAAAAGAAAAGAAATAAAAAATAAAGTCTTGACTTTAGCCTAGTTGGTTCGGGTGGTAAGTAGCCGAGGAGTGTTTTACATTAGTGCCCTATAGCCCTGGTTTGGGAGTCATTGACCTACGCCCTTACACGGACCTTCTAGAAAGCTTAAGAAGTTAAGACAAGAAAAAAAAAAAAAAAAAAAAAAAAAAAAAAAAAAAAAGGTGATGAATGAAAAAGAAATTATATGTCAAAACTTGTGTGGAAAATGAGCATTATGTTGCGTGTACATAAGTTGGGAGTTTTCATGACATTTTAACATTGTGATATGAATATGAAATGTGTGTTTGAGAAGCTTGAATGGAGATAGGCAAATCTGACGAACTTTAGCTCTTTATTTAGGATTGTGTTATTTACTTGTTATGTTCAAATTCTTCACTTTACCTTTTGATGAATGTCTTGGTTGTTGATGAATATGGTTTGTATGATTTTGTGAGAATGTTGAAAGAGTTCCTTTAACTTTCTCGAGACGAGCAAAGAGTGTTGGGAAGTGTGTTAGAGTCATGAAAGTGACTCTATTTTGGTGATAAAATACCCCATTTGTGATTAAATTGAAGTATATTGAGCAATTAAAGATTTATGATTTATTCACGAAATCGCTTCCTATATTTTTCTTATAATCTAATGTGTTTGGAATGATTTTGGAAAATATATGAGTTGATATTAGGTTGTGGTTTATGGTCCAGGGTTATTTGTCTCATTTATGCTGTTTAGGGGTAAAATGTCATGTTTTAAGGGGTTGATTTTGTCACTTTTCAATTGTGCAGGGACTAAACTGAAATTTTGCAATATGCACTATAAAAGAAAAGTGCAGATCGCGTGAACAGTAGGCTGCCATCGATAGAGTTTTCCGGCGACCCTTCATCTTCCACCTCCCGACCCTTCGTCTTCCACCTCCGGCGACTCTTCGGCTTCCTCGACCACAGATCACCATCATCGCTTCATCACCACCGTGAGCCAACCCCCACGCCGCACGCTTCGTCTTCCACCGCGTCGTTTCATCTTCCCGGCCAGTTTTGGCATTCTTCGGTGACTTTCAGCTCCCCAGGGTAATCTTCTTCCCCATAGCCGGATCTACACTTCCCTAGCTTCAGCCGCCGCGAAAACCGCCGGAATCTGTGATTTAGCCGCCGCGACTCTTCATCTTCCAGGCCAGATCCTGCTCATTTCCGGCGACTTCTCACCTCCCCGGACCTATCTGAACTCCCCATCACCAGAGCTTTCCATCGGTACCTTCGGATCCATTTCCGCCACCGTTTTCCGGAGACCCGCCAAAATTAACGTTTTCCGGCGAACCGCGGCTGTTCGTATTCCGGCTGTCCGTTGATCGTTTTCGCCCCTTTTTCGCACCATATCGCTGTCGGTACCTCCTCTCCACCATGGTCAGCTCCGTTTCCACCGTTTCGGCCTCCGTCATCACCACCATGAGCGGCTAAGCCCCGTTTGTCTGTTACGCATAGCGAATCGGGATTGACTCCACGACTCTCCTCATCATCCTCGACTAGTTGGATGACCCGATTATGATTTGTAGTATGTGCTTCAGATTTATTTGTTTTCGTTTCATGATTGATTTCGATACTTTAATATGATTTGGCATACTTGTGATGAATATTGTTGTCCATTGTGATTTAATTTTCATAGAACTTGCTGAATGATAAACGTTGGTTTGGAATAATTAAATGATGAATATTGCTACATTACTTCGCACGATTGTAATTGAGTTGTGTTGGATTTAATTTAATTTCTACATTGTTGCTTTTATTGTGAAGTTGGTTGATTGGATATTACGTGTTACAGATTGTATTTGTTAATCGCGTACCAACTAGTGTATTTTGTAGCGTTTATCGACGTTCAATGATAGTCTTTAACATCGAACCTGAGTGATCGTGAGACAGGATAGATTATACCTAGAGTGTCGGGAACCATTTCATTGATTTACCTTGCCTTGTAGGTTTTAGGGATCGTAGAGGGTAGAGGAGAATTGTGAGTCGCTTCGTGTCGAACCAAAACCGTAACGCAACATTTTTTATATAAAGTTTTATGATTTTAATGCACTATTTCATTATTTGCATTTAGTCTTTAGTTTCATTAATCCATTGCCAATTTCATTTCGCTACTTAAAATACATTAGGTTGTTAGTCTTGCTCCCTGTGGATTTGATCCTGCTTACCGCTACTACGGTATTTAGGTTTAATTTTTAGACTGTGACGCTCGGTCTAACAGCGATGGCGTGATCAATCCTAGAAAATTATTGTAGCCAACCGCTGTTGACTCAATCTAGTGTTGGAGGTTTCATATGTTTTTTTTTTTTTTTTTTTTTTTTTTTTTTTTTCTTCCAGATCATATATTTAGATTCGTTTCATGTGGTTCCGAAAGCTGTTTTCTACCCAACAAATCCTTTTTTTTTTTTTTGTATTAGGAAAGTAAAGAATTAGATATATCAACCAAAACATATCAAGTAACAACTATGTCAAATTTTGTTTAAATTAATATAGTCTGTTCGTAAAAAAATTATTCTAAATACAAGAAAAGTCTCCTTTATTAATATTATGTAATGATGAATCATATGATAATCAACGTCACTGTTTGTATAAGCTTTTTGTCTATTCTTTCCCGTGAAATAAGTCTCGTTGAAATTTCCTGTCGCTGTTGAAGTTGGACCGCTGATCGGTCCACTCTCCACTGCCCAATCGAACCATAGCTTCCCTTGGCAACCAGTCCAAAAAAAAAAAAAAAAAAATTGTGACATTTCACCGGTGAAAACCTGGCAAGTCGCCAGGTCCTGGGTTGACCGGTGCGTCAAACTGATGTCTAAAAGTTTAAAATCCAATAAAAACATCCTTACAAATTTTGTGAGTCTCTATAAGTTTAAAATCTAATAAAAACACCCCAAAATTACTGTCAACGTCAACAAATAAAGCGCGTTACACCCCCCATCACCATGAAAACACCCCTCTTAACTTCCTAACCAAAACTCATCTCACCCCTCCCCCATTCGCATCGCCAATCGCAACGATTTATTTTTGCGATTTTTGATTGATTCACTTACTAGAAATCACCTCCATCACCATCATTCCACTCACTGGCCATTCCTCTTCAAAACCCCCCAACTTTCAATTGTTCGTCGATCGACATCCTAATTTTTAAGGTTTTCAATAAATAGTAAAATTAGTAACCTGACCTAGTGAAGACCCCGAGTCCCGATTCAACAAGTTGGGTCAAGCTGGGTTTTAAAACACTGTCAAAAACTACTCAATGCTATGCATCTATAAGTAAATAACTAACTGAACAGTATGAAATTTAATTAAATTTTTAAATATTAATTAAAAATTTATTGTTAGGAAATCATATATAATTACTTTATAATATTAATAAGTCAGTAATAGTAAAAATATTTTAGCCTCAGATAATTTAGATTATCTAGATAAACTTTCGCTCCATGATTAAATTTCCAATAGGTTTGCAATTTGCTGATTTCATATTCTCAGAATCAAATATTGGAAAAAATGCTAAAAATAAACAAAACCATTTGAGTGTTAAAATTGGACTACAATCCCCTAAAAAAGCCCAACTCCAAGAATGAGACTGTATCCAAATCCAAATAAGGCCCAAGTGACATGAGAAAACAAAAACTTGAAGCAGGAAATGAGAACCAGTTTAAGTAAATATCAACTCAAATTTGATCATATCAACTAAAAATTGGTCAAGTCCGTTTAAAGCTAATCATCATTATGAAAATTAACTACTAAACCAGAAAATTTCTGTCACTTAATATGATGCAGTTAAGCTAAACTGAAGTACTGAGAACTTTAAGAAACGAGATTTAACTCATCAGAGAACTTTACTGTCAAAGCAAACAACTTTGATTTCAGATTCAATCATAAACAATGGTAACACGACAATGACAGTGAAAAAGTTTGTAATCCAGGACTGGAACGGCTTATCAAGAACTAGACCAGAAGTACAAAGCAACAGCCAACAGCAATACAATATATTGCTGAATTCATGAGATTTATAGGATCATTTACTAGCATTGAAGGATATACTACCAAAGAAGCAAATAAATAACTGACATCAAAGCTTGCATTTCAAATCCCTATCTACATTTTACAAATACAGGTAAAAGAGTTGTCTCTGAAAATGGGTTGAGATTTCAGTTATCCAATGTAACACCTAAATTTTAACAGTGAAACTATTGGACCACTTAGTAAATAGACATGGAATCTAAAGCATTGATCCGAATAGAATTAGAAAGATGAGCAATCAAGGGAAGATAATGCTAAACTTAGCTGTACAATGCAAGTTATACTCCCTTAATCAGTCAATTCAAATGGAGCCCATCGTCTAAAATTCAGGACCAGATCCGCCGAACTGCCAATAGATCAGAGCGATCTCAACCACATCTGATCACAAGTATGTAAAATAACAAAGATGTTAAGAAATTAACAGTGAACTAAAACTTTAAAATGAAAATACTGAAGATTGTCATGCAACAAGAAGGGAATAAGAATATTGATTCCTTATCATGCAAATCAAAGCAATCCACAAACATATAATTTGAGGCCAAAAATGAATGAGCAATTAGGATCTAGGAAGATGTGGTAAGAACCATGTCCCCAACCATTTCAATTTGAGCAATACAAAGATCATTTTCTGAATTGGAAAAACGGGGCAGCAGCATTGCAACTTAACTGAAAAAAATATTAACTTCATTAATAATATCATTCATTTGTCAAAGCTTCACCAAGTCGAAATACACATATGCATATTTAAGAAATAAAGAAATGCACAAATTGGGTGTTAGGGGCCTACTAGTTGATATCAATGAATAACCAGAAAACGTATTGATTTTACTAGTCGGACTCTTTCCATACTTTGTGATCGCCAAAATGTCATAGGTCTCTCAGGAAAACACCTAATCTCCAACATGATCTATAGTTCTCCCTCTCCTTTGGTGCTAACATTTCCATTCTAATCCGATCACGCACCATAATCTTTCCTTCAAAAAAAAAAAAAAAAAATCATGTATAGCATGGAGAATTAAGGACCCGTAATTAGAATAACAACAACGCATACCACACAAGGATGACGCACAGGAAGCATATTTTTGATAATGCCCTTAATTTGTCATTCCCCAGGAATAACTTATTCCTAAATGTAGCCTACATTCCCTTTCAAAATCAGTGGAAAAAAGCAGGGACTCATTCCACAGGGAAAATTCCCACCCTATAGAACCTCATAGATCAATTACTTCAAAATTTTGAAACAAAATCATATATAGCATGGAGAATTAAGGACCCGTAATTAGCATAACAACAACGCATACCACACAAGCAATTCTTAACTCAAGGAAAAACAGAACTTATTTCACAAAGTAAAGGGTTATTGAAATACTAATTAACAAAGAGATCCTAAGTGCCCAACACTTACTGTTTGCCCTTCTTCTTCTTTTCCTCTATCACATACTGACGAACTCTCTCCGCCTTCATTTTCATCCCCACTATCATCTCCTCAGTCGCTTCAATTATCTGCTTTGGCAAATAAACCTCCATGTAATGGAACCACTGCTCCAGAGTCATTGTCTCCAAATCCCCAAATTTTTCTTTATCTTCAACCTTATTACAACTACTCTTTTTGACATCTCCACCACTTACTTCTCCTAATTCTACATTTTCTTTATCTTCAACCCTATTACTACTAATCTCTTTAACATCTCTGCCACTTACTTCTACTAATTTCGTGTTCTCTTTATCGACGATGTGAACTTCATCACTCTCTCGTGGCATTTTCTGTGAATTCAAATTCTCTCTATCTTTAATTTGAACTTCACTACTTTCCCGTGGCATTTCCTGGAGACCTTTCCTCCTGGTTCTAGCCTTACGCGTTATTTTGACATATTTCTCTTTAACATCTTTCACGTTTTCTTTATCCATAGTTTGAACTTCATCTCTCTCTCCTGGCACTTGCTCCGCTTCCAAATTCTCTTTACCTTCAATTTTAACTTCACAACTCTCCAGTGGCATTTCCTTTAAAGCTTTCTGCCTTCCCCTACCCTTTCGGATAATTTTTACATCATTCTCTTTAATATCTTTCACTCTTCCTTTATCAACAATTTGAACTCTCTCACCCTCCGCTGGCATTTGCTGCGGTTTCAATTCCTCTTCGCCTTCAATTTGAACAACTTCACTATTCTCTGGTGGCATTTCTTGTAAAATCTTTCTCTTTCCCCTACCCTTTCTTGTAATCTTAACCTCTTTCTCCACCGCTCCACACTCAATTAATCCCTCATTCTCCAAACACTCTTCATTCTTCTTACTCCTAGATCTAGTGGCTCTCACGTTCACTTGACGCGTAGGATTCCTTCTCGGCTTCACCGACTCCTCGTGGCTGTTTTCCGTCATTAACTTGATTGAGATCGAGGTGTACTCTCCGAGTTTAACTGTGTCGTTTTCGTGGAGTTCGACGGGCGTATGAGGGGGGAGTTTGGAGGAGTTGAGGGCGGTGCCGTTGGAGGAGCCCAGATCTTGGACAGTCCATTTCCCGGATTCGAATCCGATTATAAGGTGCTTGGAGGAGATGCCGGCGTCCTTTATCGTAACGTTGTTGCCGCGCACAATTCGCCCGATCCGGATGGTGGCTCCCGGTTCAAACTCAAGCGTTTCGCCAGAGCGTGGGCCTTGGACCAGGATTAGCTTCAAACCTGGCTCCATCTGTACTTGGAGCTCTGAGAAAGTGAGAAATTTGTAGAAGGATTCGAGGGTTCTTCTTCTACTTGTCTTTTTGAGCAGAGAAAATCAGTAAAGACTGAGAATTTTTTGAATCGTGAATTGGGCGGCCGGTCTTCCCTCTATTAAATTTTGTAATCCCCTCACGTGCACTGCACGTGAATTATCTTTTAAATATATTATTATTATTTTTTAATAATTTCTTTTCCTTATTTTAATATAAAGTGCAAAAACAATAAATTAAAAATCCTACGCATACTAAATGCAATAATTTTATTGTTGCATATAATCATAATCAACAAGATTTTATTACTTGAAACAATTTCTAGTTACATTACTAATATAATTTCAAACTTATTGCATAACAAAGAACAAGAGTAGAAGAACTCAGTGCTGTTTTATTTGCCCTTGCCGGCAATCATCCCTGCAAGTATTGGTAAACTGAGAATCAAATTTAAAGAAGAGAGGAACACCTGCCCAAACATCTGTTCCATATTATTTTGTAGGACCACTCTAATCACCCCACCAAAGAAGCACACCATGTTTAACAATGCCAAGATTGCCAATGGAGCTGTAAACATTTTGGCTCCCTCGAAATCGAAGATACCCTTCTCATATTTCTCAAGCTTTTCTTTGTCCACAGCCTTGTTGGTTAATCTTAGGTTTGCTTTCTTTATGCCAATTCGCTTCATCATCATGTCTAAGCACCCAAATAGGCTTCCAGAAACTGATTTTATTATCCAAATTCTTTGTTCATTCCAAACTGTTTTGAATGTGCCACCGGTTGAAAGGACCTCATATGCATGATGAAAAAGGGAGGAAAAATACACAGTCGAAAACACCGCGAACCATGGACTTGAAACCTGACATTGATGGCAATAAAAGCAATTAGCTGCACCATTAGACATTGAATTCATCAGAGAAGTTTAATAAGGAAAAGCGGAATTTTGCTTAGACAGTTTACCTTGGGGTACAAGGTAGTGCCACTCAAGAGGCATAATGGGGGAACTATGCCATACAAGAGAAGCGCCACGGAAAGAAGGGGCTGGAATGTGAAGTATCCATAGCACATACTTTGAAAGAAGGACATTCTTGACATCCCATAAGTGAGAGGGCTGAATCTGGAGAGAGCTATTTTGATCAATTCAGAGCTCCACTTCATAAGCTGTACCATGGCATCCTTCATGTCAATGGTGGTGCAGCCTAAGAAACATGGCCTTTTCGGATAAAGGTACACCGACTTCCACCCTTTGCAGTGCAACAGATATCCAGTGAATGTACTCTCCAACAAGCAATCATACGAGAACCCAACCTGTATCCAGTATTCAGAGCTTTAAGCTTCATTTATGTGGTATTAAAAGCAAACTTCAGCAAGGATAAATGATATTTAGTAGAATGGATCACTTGCCTCTTTACCCCATTTTGTGTTTTCTTCATATGAACAAGAGGCCAAACGTTTGGCCTCTGCCACAATAGAATCTGATGAATCTTCCTGCCTAGTGACATCTTGTTCTTTGTTAGACTTGAGCGACTCTATGAGCTTGCCAGAAGTACCGAAATTCTTTTCAGGCTCAGCAAGGTACTTATCTGACAAACAAATATTATAACTTGTGAACAAAATGTAAACTCCATACAAGAGCTAATCATACCCAGCCAGTTCAGGTCAACATTTTTACCTTCTTGCTTTGGACTTCCGAATAACGCATTTCTCTTCATGTAAAAGCCAGTGCCTGACAGCAATGGTCCTCTTAGCCCATCCATACCTTGCCATTTCGTCTGAATTAAGTAGAGCAAAACTTAAATAAATACTTCCGATGAACAAGAATTTTTCTTTAATTGATCTGAAGGCAAGGAATAGGAATTGTTTCATGTACCTTGTAAGCAGACCTAGATTGTCCATCATAGATATCATTCTTGCTGACATTATAGAAAACTTGGGGGTATTGAACAAAAGCGAGATTATGCGACATCTGGGGATCAAGGTGAAAGCACATTGCTTGTTTAGCAGAATTTGGGTCATTACAGAACATGTCACAGTCCAAAACCAAAATGTAGGGGGCATTGCTGATTATCCCAGAAACTCGAAGCTGCAATAGTATGGTTCATTAAATACTGCTAATTTCATTTAAATTTGATGCATCAATGTGTAAATTTATGAGAGACACAGAGAATGTGTGTACTTACAAGGGTGTTGAGAGCTCCAGCTTTGAAACGATGAGGAAAGGACGGTCTTCTTTCACGTGAGACATAGACAAGGCCAGGCATCTTGGTTTGCTCATCTTTGTACTCTATATTATCCTTTCTATTGTCATGTATTATCTACCAAAAAAAAGAAAAATTTACTACAAAAAGGAATAGGCCAGACATAGACAAGGCCAGGCATCTTGGTATTTTTTTTTTTTTTTTTTTAATGAAATAGTTGATATCTTAATTATTTCAAATAATTTCTTCGCTGCCCCTATTCCTTTCGGCTGTTCTTCCAGGAGTATCTGAAATTTGTTGCTATGGGAGCTAGTCAGCTACTACGTTATTTCCTCTATGGTTTGTTGTTTCTTTTGTTCGATGGTTTCCAATCCAAATCAACTCAGCATAGAGATACAATAGAATCACTTAAAACTTCGACTGGGTGGTCAAGATATCATACTGACCTCAATGCTAGATGTCAACAAATTAAAAGAAATTACTGATTAAGTCTCTAGTTATTTAACATTAAGTACATATACAAGAATTTTTATTAAATTAAGGTATTATGGGATCAATTTATGAAATGACTTTAATTAAACTACTTTTTAATAGATTTGCATCTGGATCATTAATTAAACGGGTTTAATCTGATCGTAAAAATCCCCTTCAAATAAGTATCAAGAGTTACCCATATGATTAATTTATACATACCTCAACAAAGGGTCGGTCCATCGCCACGCAATTGTTTTCATCTTTTCACCTACTTCTCCACATTGCTCTTGAAATTTTCATACTTTGACTGTACAGGTGATAGATGTATATATATTTATAACATCAGCTAATTGAAGTGTTGATTCTGCAGAAGATTATAGTAGTATTACCAACATAAATGAAACACACCAACCTTAATCCCTCCTCCTGGACCTTGAATTCATCACTCCAAAAAAGCCTCTCATCATCAGCTAACATCGAGAATAAGCCTCAGGACACTCGTTTTGAGGCCATTGTTCTTGCAAAAGGGGTCCAACTCTTAGCAAATTCAAATGCTTCTTTATAGCATACACACTTATATAAGAACCTCCATCATCCGAAGACCACAGACAATTTCTCCGGTGGATAATCAAGTGCTAAGGCCGATATAACATTGTTCATAACCTCACAGTCGGCTCCTTTTTGGGATCAGCCGTGCATACAAACACATCAATTCCGGTAAACTAACATCACTAGGAATGTTTTCAACTGAAACTGAACGGGTCACCGGGAGCCATCGAAAGGCTTGTGTGAGTGCCCAAATGAAGGCGAGAATGAACTCGGAGACAGTGATGAGAGCCCATGCAAAGGATGGTAGTGTATTGCTTTGTGGAAAAGATTGTGAGGCGATAATAAAGCAAGAACGATACGGCTGTCAGTGGAAGAAACCATGAACCCTGCTTTTGGCTCGAGATTGGTGAACTTTACGATGAGAGCTGATTCGACCTCCATAGTTTTTCTTGATTTCTCGACTTGGCTGGGAATGATTTATAGCTCACAACTTGTTAATTCTCCTTTTATAGATTTCCTTATATGTTCTGTGAACTTGCATGCCATTAAAATGGCATATAGAATGTAAGATGCTTAGTTTTGTTCAGTAATTAATCTTGAAAATTATCTTTAAATTAACAGTTGTGGTTTATTCATTTACGTACAAACTACCAATAACATTGAGTGAAGGTTTATCTGTTGCCCCAATTGACCATAAGACATTTCCTGGTATTTTTATTAATGGTGGCGTATGATTGAAGAAGTTCAAATTTGCCTTATATGTGTATGGCCAAATCAATGTGCATAGCTGGAGGAGGATTGTCCTTTGTAGCTTGGAATTTGCGGCCTCCGTCTATTTTATTAGTTCAATAGTGTTAAAGAGAACAAAATAGTAATCATATACCAGACAAAATTAACATCGTGATTTAACACCAGTCAGTAATGATATGAATAACATGATAGATAAATAATAAACAAAACCATTTAATTTATCGCATTACAATACACTATGTAATTAATCATGCAAACCTTTAATAGTTGAGACGGCAGGCAGCACATTTTTTTTTCTTTAAATTTATGCTTTGCCAATTGCCACCTTCACACGGTACCAAAATATTTTTAAATATATTTTGTATTTAAAAATATCAAAGAAACAATTATTATGTTTTTGTTATAGTAATGTGATAGGTTTAATAATGAGATAATTCTGGTTAAGCATTGCCAAGTAGATTGCTTTAATTGCTGGAATTTTCTATTTTCAACACTAAAATTTCAGTCCTTTTTATAGTAGTATTCTATTTGCTTAATCTTTTATTTCTTTTCCTAATAGATCTGAATTATAATATCGTGGATAGCACGTTTGAGACATGGAAGCAAATAAAGTAAATCAAAAAAAAAAAAAAAAAAAGAAATTTATTTGCAATTTAATTTGATTGGACTGATACATCTCAGAAGATCTTATTTTATATTGCATCCAGTTGACCATTATTTAAAAACTTCTTCCCAACAAAATATGGTAAATCATTGCCACCCCTAAGCTTTCATGCATTCGACTTAATTTTGGCTTTGTTAAGACTTAACTTTTGTTTTTTTACTAAGTTAAATCTTGGCTAAATATTATATTTGAGTTGGGAGACTATAATTTGAAATCATTTATATATTTGTTTTTGTGTTATTGGTTAATTGAATACTTTGCATTTGAAATGCTATATTGATTTTAACTAGATAGTCCATACAAATGTTAAATTAAGATTCAAACGTATTATTGATATGCACCGTATAAACTCGTATTTTTCTCGATCCGAATTTCATAGACAAATTTTATAAATATTTTTTCACTATTTACCGTATTATATCCGTAA